TGTTTTCATGCAAAACACATTTCCATGTAAGTCATTCTGTGAAAGAAAACACAGACAAAAAAAACCCCAAGAAAAATAAAGAAAAGGTATTTTTTCAACTATAATTAATTTATTTATTTTTAGTTTTCAACATTCACTTCCACAAGATTTTGAGTTCCAAATTTTCTCCCCATCTTGTCCCTCCCCCCCACCCTAAGATGGCATGCATTCTGAATACCCCTAATCTGCCCTCCCTTCTATCTCTTCCCCCCTTCTCTTATCCCCTTCCCCTTCAATTTTTCTGTAGGGCAGGATAGATTTCTATGCCCCATTTCCTGTATATCTTATTTCCCAGTTGCATATGAAAACAAAATTTTTCTAACTTTTGTTTTTAAAATTTTGGGTTCCAAATTTTCTCTCTTCCTCCCTCCCCATCCACCGTCATTGAGAAAGCAAGCAACTCAATACAGGTTATACATGTGTAGTCATGTAAAACACCTCCACCGTAGTCACGTTGTGAAAAACTAAGTATATTTCCCTTCATCCTATTCCTCCCCCCATTTATTCTATTCTCTCTTTTGACCCTGTCCCACTTCAGAAGTGTTTGCTTCTGATTATCCCCTCCCCCCAATCTGCCCTCCCCTCTCTCATCCTCCTGCTCTCTTGTTGCCTTCCCCCACTATTTTCTGTAGGGTAAGATAGATTTCCATACCCAATTGAGTGTGTATGTCATTCTCTCCTTAAGCCAAATCTGATGAGAATAAGATTCACTCATTCCCTCTCACCTTACCCCCATTTCCCCTCCACTGTAAAAGCCTTTTCTTGTCTGTTTTATGTGAAATAATTTACCCCATTCTACATCTCCCTTTCTCCTTCTCCCAGTATAATCCTCTCTCACCCCTTAATTTTATTCTCCAGATATCACCCCTTCATCTTCAACTCACCCTGTGCCATCTGTCTATCTATCTATCCATACATATAATTTTTTCCCCTCCAACTACTCTAATATTGACAAAGGACTCATGAGGAAAATGTATTTTTGATCTACATTCAGGCTCAACCAGTTCTTTTGCTGGAGATGGAAAGCAACTTTCATCATAAGTTCTACAGAACTTTTTTGGATCATTGTATTGCTAAGAATAGCTAAGTTATTTATAGTAGATGATCATACAATATTGCTATTACTGCATACAATGTTCTCCTGGTTCTGTTCATTTCACTTTGCATCAGTTCATGTAAGTCTTTCCATGTTCTTCTGAGAACATCCTGCTCATTATTTCTTATGGTACAATAGTATTCCATTGTAATCATATACAATAACTTGTTCAACCATTCCCCAGTTGATGGACATCCCCTCAATTTCCAATTCTTTGCCACTACTAAAAGAGCTGCTGTAACTATTTTTGTATACACAAGTCCTTTTCCTTTTTGTTTAACCTCTTTTGGATGCAGACCTAGTAGTGGTTTTGCTTGGTCAGAGGGTCTGCATGGTTTTATAGCCCTTTGGGTTTAGTTCCAAATTGCTCTCCACAATGGCTAAATTAGTATACAACTTCACCAACAGTACATTAGTGTTTTAATTTTCCCACACCCCCTCCAACATTTGTAATTTTCCTTTTCTGTCATATTAGCCAATTTGACAGGTGTGAAGTAGTAGCTCAGAGTTGTTTTAATTTGCATCTCTCTAGTCAATAGTGATTTAGAGCATTTTTTTTTCATATGACTATAGATAGCTTTAATTATTTTGAAAACTGCCTGTTCATATCTTTTGACCATTTATCAGTTGAGGAATGGCTCTTATTTCTATAAATTTGACTCAATTTTCTATATGTTTGAAAAATGAAGTCTTTATCAGAGAAACTGTAAAAAAAATTTTTTCAAAGTAATGATTACCAGCTATGTATTTCCCTCCATCCTATTTTCCTCATTTATCCTAATCTCGCTCTCCTTTTACCGTCCTTTCTCAAAAGTGTTTTGCTTCTGACTTTTACCTCCCTCAAACTACCCTCCTTTCTATCAGCTCCACCCCCTTTTCTCTTATTCCCTTCCCTTCCTACTTTCCTATATGGTAAGATAGGTTTCTATCCCCAAGTGTGTATATTATTCCCTCTTTGAGCCACCTCTGATGAGAGTAAGGTTTATGAGCTCCCCTCCCTGTTTCCCCTATTTTCCCCTCCACTGTAAAAATCTCTTTCTGGCCTCTTTTATGTCAGATAATTTATCCCATTCTATCTCTTCCTTTCCCCTTCTCCCAATGCATTCTTCTTTCGCAGCCCTTAATTTTATTTTTTTTTAGATAATCATACAATCACATTCAACTCACACCTTGCCTTCTGTCAATGTGCACAGCTTCTAATAATGAGAAAGTTTTTAGGAGTTATAAATATCATTTTCCCATGTAGAAATATAAACAGTTTAATCTTATCAAGACTTATTATTTCTCTTTCCTGTTTACCTTTTCATGCTTTTTTTGCATCTTGTATTTGAAAGTCAAATTAGCTATTCAGCTCTGGTCTTTTCATCAGGAATGCTTGAAAGTCCTTTCATTGAATATCCATCTTTTCCCCTGAAGGATTATACTCAGCTTTGCTGGGTAGGTGAATCTTGCTTATAATCCTCGCTCTTTCGCCCTTCAGAATATATTCTAAGCCCTTCGATCCTTTAATATAGAAGCTGCTAAATCTTGTTATCCTGACTGTGGTTCTACAATATTTGAATTGTTTCTTTCTGATTGCTTGCAGTATTTTCTTTTTGATCTGGGAGATCTGGAATTTGGCTATAATATTCCTGGGAGTTTTCATTTTGAGATCTCTTTAAGGAGGTGATCGATGGATTCTTTCAGTTTCTATTTTAATTTCTAGTTCTAGAATATCAGAGCAGTTTTCGTTGATAATTTCTTGAAAGATGATGTCTAGGCTCTTTTTTTTTCTTAAATCATGATGTTCAGGTAGTCCAATAATTCTTGTCTTTCCTGGATTTATTTTCCAGGTCAGTTGTTTTTCTGATGAGATATTTCACCTTTTCTTCTATTTTTTCATTCTTTTGATTTTGTTTGATTGTTAGCTTCCACTTACCCTAACTTTTATGGAATTATTTTCTTCAGTGAGCTTTTGTACCTCCTTTTTCATTTGGCCAGTTAGTTCTCTTCAGTGAATTTTTGTATATCTTTTTCCATTTGGTCAATTCTGCTTTTAAAGGAATTCTTTTCTTCGTTGGATTTTTGTGCCTCTTCTACCATTTGGCTTATTCTGGGTTGTTTTTTTTAAGTTGTTATTTTCTTCAATATTTTTTATGCCTCCTTTACCAAGCTGTTGACTCCTTTTTATGATTTTCTTGCATCATTCTCATTTCTCCTTCCAATTTTTCCTTTATCTCTCTTACTTGATTTTTTAATTTTTTTTTTTAGGCATTTGGGGTTAAGTGACTTGCCCAGGGTCACACAGCTAGTAAGTCTCTGAGGTTGGATTTGAACTCAGGTCCTCCTGACTTCAGGGCTGGTGCTCTATCCACTGTGCCACCTAGCTGCCCCCTCTCTTACTTGATTTTTAAAATCCCTTTTGAGCTCTTTCATAGCCTGAGACCAATTAATATTTTTCTTTCAGGCTTTGGATGCAGGAATTTTGACTTTGTTGTCTTCTGAGTATATGTTTTGATCTTCCTTGTCACCATAGTAACTTTCTATGTTCAGAATTTTTTTCCCATTGTTTTCTCATTTTCCAGCCTATTTCTTAACATTCTATGCTGAAGTGGGGCTCCACTTCCCAAGTGGAGGGTGCACTGTCCCAAGCTTCAGGATTTTTGTGTAGCTGTTTTCAGAGGTAATTCTGGGGACCTAGTAAATTTTTGGCTCTTCTAGGGTGGTATGAACTAGGGAAAGGTGTGTTTACTACTCTCCTGTACTGTGCACTGGTTTATGAGTGACCACAAGCACTCTTTTCAACCCTAGAACTGTGACCAGAGTCCCTGCTCCCCTGTGGCCACAAGCTCTGCTGTGCTAGTGCTCATCTTTGCACTGGGACCGAGACCCAGGACTGTGACCTAGATCCAAGTACAGGCAATGCCTGCCCCTGATGCCAGCCAAGGGACTCCTGTAAATCTCCTTCTGACCCATTGTCTGATCACCTTACTGTCTATGGGCTGAGAGATCTGGAAATCACCACTGCTGCCACTGATTCAGTCACCCTGAGGCTTGCTCCTGGTTTGCTGGAGTCCAGTCTGCACTGGCTTGACCTGTGCTGGACTTTGGTACCCTCTCACCCTAGCACAACAGACCTTTCCTCCCAACCTTCCAAGCTGTCTTGGGTTGGAAAATTGTTTCGCTCCATCTTTTTGTGGGTTCTGCCACTCCAGAATTTATTTAGAGTCATTATTTAAAGGCATTTGGAGGGGTTAGGGGAAAGCTCAGGCAAGTCCCTGCCTTACTCCGTGGCCTTGGCTCTACCCCATGAGGTCTTATCTTGAGGCACATGGAGCCTGGGCCTGTGATAACTGTAGAGGGTTGAGGAATTGTCGCTTATCTCAGATGGTTTGGTGAGATAGGGTTGAGGTGGGAGCTCCTTTGTATGTGCCGACAGATTCCAGAAGCCTCTCAATTCAGTCCCTGGGCACTCAGCAGTGATGGAGTAGAAAAGTATTATTTTTGGGATGATTTGGTGTGACGTCTAAATACAGTTCCCTCAGGAGGACAGCTCCACTTTCCTACATGCTGTGAAAAAGAAGGAATAAGTGTTGGTCCAGGAGACTCGATGTCATGAGTAGCTCCCACTTGCCTGGGCACTTGTCTCGGGAGGAGGAAATGTTGGGATAGGAGTTTTGGTGTCAGGGATAGCCTTTTCTTGCCTCGACACCTGGTCGGAATGACTGATAGAGAAGGAAGGAGGAGGCTCTGAAGTGGGTAGGTGAAGGTCCTTCTGTATGCCAGGTATATGCATGGCAGCACCAGGCTAGATCCTTACGTGCTTTCTCCCAGAAGTGGCAATTCTTAGGTCTAGCCTCCAGGTGACTCCCATGTTCTCCCCTAGGAGTTGGAGTGATTAGCATGGAGCGGGCATACCCCCTCTTCCTGGGATCCAACGTTGGTACAACCACCACGGCTTTGCTAGCTGCTCTTGCCAGCCCTGCTGACATGCTGCTCAGCGCTGTCCAGGTATCTCAATGTACCCTATAGAGTCAACGCCCTTTCCCAAAGGAAAACCCTTTCCTTCAGTTTCCACTCCCAGCTAAGGGACAGAGACTGGAATGGGGGAAACACCAGACTCATGGCCAGCAGGACAGTACTAAGACCCCAGGATGCCCTATTCCATATTTGACATGGGCTTTCCCCACTGTGTGCAAATTTTGACTGAGGAGCCTAGACATATGAAACCCTCCACCTGTACCCTGAATATAGATCCCTCTAAGTACTCATCTCTTCTCCCTTCAGCATCTTCCATTTTCCCCTCTTCTCTGGCTCCTTTCCCTTTTGCTCGCAGCTAGGCTCAAGTCTCCCTGGTCGTAAGAAAAATCTTTCCTTGATCCTACCACCATTTGTGTTTCCTCCTCTCTTTTGCCACCAAATTTATCCTGTATATGATAGCATACTGAGGGGCAGGGATGAGGCCCCAGACTTTGTCCGAACCTATCACTGAGTCACCCTACCCAGGGCCAATCCCAGTCTCACCAACCACTTATCAGGCCTGGTTTGCCCCAGTTTATCATGAATTGATTAAGGAATTATCATAATATCCTGCCTCATAATTATCAGGGAATATCCTGGGTGGGACAGGCATCCGAGAAAAATGCCCTTGGTGAGGGCGGATTAAAAATAGGTAGGGCCTTTGTGTAACCCAGTCACCAGGGCCTCCCTGACCCAGGGGGTCTTTGCACTGTGGTCTGTTCTGTAAAATGCCCCTTTGCAGCCTCTCAAGCCTTTGTCCCTGGGGCAATGGCCCCTTTTGCTATCATGTGAATGCACCCTTGCCCAGAAACCGGTCCTGGTTGAGCAATACTATTTGTGGGAATTAGCTGGGGATCCCTTTGAGAGGCCTCTTCCCAGTCTATACCTTAACACAGATTTCCCCCTAGGTCTCACTCATCCACCTGTTCTTTAACATGGCTGGCATTTTGCTGTGGTATATAGTGCCTGCCTTCCGCCTGCCCGTCCCCTTGGCCAAGAAGTTTGGGAACGTGACTGCCCGTTACCGCTGGGTGGCTGGTGTCTACCTGCTTTTCAGCTTCTTCCTGATACCCTTGGCAGTCTTTGGGCTGTCAATGGCAGGAGGCATCGTGCTGGCAGGCGTAGGAGGGCCCCTGCTTGGGCTCCTAGCTTTGGTCGTTCTCATTAACCTGATGCAGCGGCACTGTCCCACCTGGCTACCCCCTTGCCTCAGATCCTGGGCCTTCCTCCCCCTTTGGCTCCACTCCCTTCAGCCTTGGGACCGTGCCATCACCAGCTGTTGCAAATGCTGCCCTCGGGCCCAGGACCCACCTGCAGATACCACAGTCAAGGAAGCCTACTGCTTCGAGAACCGTGTCGTCCTGGTCTCCCACAGACTATGAAAATCCAGGTTCTTATTGCAGCCACACCGGGTCACCAGGCCTGAGGGAAGGGTGGGAAGGACATGGAGAAGTGCCAATCTCACCAGTGTGGGGTCCACTCAGGATGGGCTCGGCATGTGTACGGATTCATCCAAAAAGGCTGCTCCTTCTCACTTGGAGAGGTGAGCCCTGGACAGACCCAGGGCAGACTTCTAGGATACTACAGTGTCGTATTTCCACCACACGCATCCCCATCCCCAACAAACCTATCCTTAGAATCCCCTTTTATTCTTACAAAATAAATGGTGCTCTATCTCATATGCCCCTCTCCCCCCTCCCCAGGCTTCTGCTGTCCTGGCCCTACTGGCTCCAGGTTTGGGAGGCTATTTAAACAAGATTCACACCTCTAGACCACCAGTAGCTGAGTGAGAAAGGGACAAGCCTGGCTGATGCTGCCCCTTGCTGGTCAATTAGGGACTTTTCCAACTGTGTGAGTTAGAGAAGAAACAAATCTGCAATACTGCTGAGTCCTTGCTGTATGTAGTATGTAGCTGATGGATGACCCTGCCCCAGAAACTACCCAGAGTAGAGGCAGCCGCCCAGAGACACATTCCCATCCTCAGGAATTCATTGGTCCAAGGGGTCCAGAAGTGTGGAGTTGGAGATGATTGGGCAGGAACCTGTCTGGGACTAGTGCTACTGAGTGCGGCAAATTCAAATGTTCTTGGCTGGGAACAGTTTCCTGGGTAGGTCTATGCAGTCCCAAGTTAGTAGGCTCTGAACCCAACAGAGAAAGGAATGAGAGAGAGCCTTGGAATCAGGAATAGTTTCATATATGATCATCATAGGATAATCATCATCAATCAATAAACATTGATTAAATGCTTACAATGCACTGGGCGACTGTGTTAAGCATTAAGAATACAGGGGGGGAAAAGCAAAAATAGTCCCTGCATTGACACATGTATGGCTGACATCTATATAAGATTTTAAGGTTTACAAAGTGCTTGTATCACTCGATCCTTTTGACAACCCTATGAGTTAAGTGCCATAAGTGATTATCATTATTTCACAGATGGGGAAATTGAAGCTTAGAGAGGTAATGACAACTCTCCTCAGAGGCAGGACTAAAACCCAGATCTCTCTGGATACCAAGCCCAGCCTTCTTTACAATACAGACCCCAGGATCTGCAATTGGAAGAGGTTTTTAAAGACGAGTCATTGTCAGAGAATAAGTTCTATAGAGAGGAAATGACGTGTCCCATTTTATAGAGGTAGCACGTAGCGGAGCTGAGATTCAAACTCAGGTCTTGATTCCCAAATCCAGAGCCCCTTCAACTATTTCACTCTTGATTCAGCACACTCTGACTAAAACCACCCATCCTCTAAGACCCCACATCAGCTCCTCTCTGAGCTCAGTTCTCTGCTCCTCCACTCAAGAATCCCCCATTTCTCCTTCATGTGCATTTTTACCTCATCTCCCCAGCTACATTTTTGGTTTCTCTGGCCTTGCTTCCCTCTCTACCTTTACATTCTCTGACCTTCCCATTGGGGGAGTCCCTCTGGGTGATATAATAATAATAATAGCATTGAAATAGCACTGTGCTAGGCATAATGTGCTTTTCAAATATTATCTCATTTGATCCTCACAACTACCCCGGGTATTAAGTGTTAAATATTATGCCCATTTTACAGATGGGGAAATTAAGGTTAAGTGACTTGCCCGAGGTCACACAGCTAGTCACTGTCTGAGCCTGGATTTGAATTCAGGTCTTCCTGGCTCCAGGACCAGCCCTCCATCCACTGAGCCACCTAGCTATCTGTTGCAAGTCTTGCCAATCAGAGGCTATACTGGTACCCAACATGGGCCGTGGTCAGGGGAAGGCAGTATGCTTGGTTCAAGAGGGAAATCAGTGGGCCAGTTTGCATAGGGTACTTGGGAGATAATCCAGTCATTGTCAAGATATTCCTATGCTCTGCTGCAACATTCATTCCATCCCTTTGGGTGGACCACTTAACCTCTACACTTGTTTCTTCATCTGTAAAATAAGGGCCACATTCTTAGGTGATCTCCAAGCTACTTTCCAACTCTAAATTCTGTAACACTATTATTCTTTCTCTACCTTTAGTCTTTCCCTGAGCTGGTGAGGGCAGGCTAACACCCATTCTCTGGCTCATTATGTGTGGTTTGGAATCACTAAGAAGAAAGGATGATGCCTCCGAGGCATTTCTCACGATCCTTCAACCCCATAGACACTAATTTGAGGGCTAACATTGCTCCAAGTTCATGGATTTCCCCAACACCAGAGGGCCCCATTCTACATATGACAAGTTCAAAACAAATGCCTAGAAAACTAGGTCCTGAAATCAGGGCTTCCTTATGTTTAACCTTCTCCTCTTCTGTCCTTTCTCAACACCTCAAAGCATCCTGTTTTGAGCAGCAAAGATTAGCCACTGGGCGCCGTCTCTTTAAATTAGGATTTTGGAGGCTGTTTTTCTCTTTTCTCCGAACAATATTGTTCCTTCAGCATTTTGTGGCCATAAGTGAACTTGGGAATTCCACCTCCCTGAGCGTGTGTGGTCAGAAGAAAACCTTCCACACCTGTGTTTTCATTCATAACATGAAAGAAGAAGAATTGACCCTCCGTCTGCCAGGCTGGAATATCATGAGAATAAAATAAGGTCATAAAAGGGGGAGCCCCTGCCAAAAAATGTTGAAGGTGCTTTAAAATAATATATGAGAGTTTATTTCAAGTTCCTCAGTTACCTCCTCTTTTTTCCTCTGGACCTTCTTTCAATTTTCCACAGTTGGGTCCAGCATTGGAACCTTGTCCCTGGGATGGTGTATGTGGAGCTGAACTGAAAGATGACCCTCAGACAGGGATGTGTTGGCTTTACAACCAGCTTAATCTGTATTTTTAACATTCTCTCTATCACTTAAGTCAAGACAATCAACAAAATAATAAATCATGCCCTAATTTGTAGTGTTTGCTGATTTCTAAGGTGTAAATGCTCCCACTGAAAATGTAACAATCAGTTCTCCCGAAGTCTGTATAAGCAGACTCCAGCACACCCCTGAGTCGGGGAAAGGGACCCTATTCCATGAAGAACCAGGTCCAGATCAATTGTAACAGGAATGGATTTCCCTTTGTCTTCTGCTCGGGTAAAGGGCAGAGCAGGAGGCTGCCCATAGCTCTCCAACCTCCCCACTGTAGCAAAGAGTGTGTCTCACCTAGCTATATTCAGGTCTCTGTCCTTTGAGAAAAAGTCAAGTTTGTCTTCAGTCATCCTCCTTTCCATTCTCCTCCCCAATCCCCCTGCCCACATCCCTGAACTGCAGAGCCCTTCTTTGCTTTACACAGACTACGTCCTTTGTGGTGGAATTTTGTCAACCCAGCGTCTTCACCATCAAAACTTCCCAGTTAATTCCACTCAGCTATTCTATATTGAGCACCTCCAGTGTGCCCAGGCCTGTGTACAAGTAACTCGCAGAGAAAAAAAAATCGGAGAGCAAGGCAAGAGTGTGTGATGGATTAGAGACTGGATTGAAACACTAGCAAGTGAGAGAGTTCAGGGAGAACTGGAGTCATCTGTGAAAATCTCATGGAGGAGATAGAATTTGAACTCGAAGATTCTATTGGATTTCGATAGGCAGAGAGAATGGGAAGGATAGGCTGGGGACAGCTTGAGCAAAGGAAGAGATGTAAGTGGCAGCGAAGGGATTTGTTTGATTGGAGCAGAGGAATTGTGTTCCATTCAACAAACATTTTATTAAGTATTTATTAAAGGCAATCAAATGAGATCTCTGTAAAGTGCCTTGCACAGTGCCTGGCACAGAGTAGGCAATTAATGCTTGTTTCCCCCCTCCGCTACAGACAAGGCCCTGTGCTAAATCTCTAGGGATAAAAGTGAAATAATACTTGTGCTCAAGAAGCTTCCATTCAATGGGAAGGATATAACATATACACTGACAAATAAATACAAAGTAATGAGGGAAGGAGGCTCTAACAACTGGGCAGATCTGAAAGGGCCTCTTCTGGAAGAATGCACCTGAATTGGGCCTTGCTGGAAGCTAGCATTCCAAGAGATGAAAGTGAGGAGGGAAAGCATTCCAGCAATGAGTGCACACCCTTTGCAAAGGCCTGGAAGTGGGAAATGGAATGTCATTCACAGCAAGTAGCAAGTTGGCCTGCTTAACTGAAATGTAGAATATACAAGGAAGAGCAGCAGAAACCAGATCATAGAGGGCTTTAAATGCCAGGCTATAGAATTTGTATTTTGTGCTAGAAATAAATGGGGAGCCATTGAAAATCTTGAGCAAGGAAGTGATATAGTCAGTCCTGTGTTTTAGAAACATTAATTTGGCAACTATGTAGAGGCTGAATTGCAGAGTGGAAGAGAGTAGAGGAACAATTGGGAGGCTCCTGCAGTAATCCTGGCTAATGATAATAGCTATAACATTTATATCTGTGCCAGTCACTGTGCTTATCGATTTGCAGTTATCTCAACTAATCTTCACAACAACTCTGGGAGGTAGATGCTATTATCCCAATTTGCAGATGAGGAAACTGAGGTTAAGTGACTTGCCCAGGGGTCATACAGCTAGTAAGCAGCTGAAGCTGCATTTTAATTCAGGTCTTCTTAACTCCTGGGGCCACTAGGTGGCGCCATAGTGCATAGAGTGCTGGGCCTGGAAGTCAGAAAGACTTCCTGAATTCAAATCTGAACTCAGACATTTATTAGCTGTGTGACCCTGAGCAAGTCACTTAACCCTGTTTGCCTTGGTTTCCTCATCTGTAAAATGAGCTGGAGAAGGAAGGGCCAAACCATTACAGTATCTTTGCCAAGAAAACCCAAAATGAGATCACCACACCTGAAACAACTGAACAACTCCTTGACTCCAGGCCCAGCACTCTATCCACCATACCACCTAGCTGCCCCTCTAGGCTGGAGGTGATGAATATCTGAACTCCAGGTTGGTGTCCTTCTGAGTAGAGAGATAGGGATACAAGAAATGGATGTGGAGAACTGAGGATAACCCTGAGGCTGTGAATATGGGTGAATGGGGGGATTGTGGGGTCTTGGACAGAAAGAGAAAGGGGAGTTCGGAAGAGGATAGGTTTTAGGAGGAAGATAATGAATTGCATTCAGACGTGTGGTGTCCTGCACCTACAACGTGGCTAGGTTGAGTGTCCAGCAGACAGTTGGTGATAGAAGACTGAAGCTTAGGAGAGAAATGGGAGCTCATGGTGTCATCTGCATGGAGATGACAATTGAACCTGCAGGATTGAGATCACAGAGGCAGAATGGAGGGAGCAAAAATAGGGCCGAAGACAGAGCCCCTGAGGGCTCTCCTCCATGAGGAGGAGCTGGAAACAAATGATGATCCAGCAAAAGAGACTGAGAAGGAGTGGTCAGTGGAGAACTAAGGGTGAGCAGCCTCGGAGAAGCTAAGGGAAGAGATAATCTGCAGGAAGAAGTGCAGTGGACAATGACCTTGGACTAGAGGATAAAGCCAGACTGTGGCAGGCCTTGAATGAGGACAGAGGAGTTTCAATTTGATTTGGTAGAACATGTTAGATTCTTGATCAGAAGGGTCAGAGAGGAAAGCTCAATCTCATCACATTGAGATACACTTGAAGTATTGATGAAGGTGTTAATGAGTAAATGGTTTAACAGCTTGATACCTCATCCCAGGCAAAATCTGTATTTTTAATAGAGGTCTTACTAGTTCAAAGGTAGGGAGTTATTTGGGGGGTATGAGAACTTCTTATGTCCTAAAAATCACATTTCCCCCTCCCCCCCAGGGCTATGCCCTCTAACTCTGAGTATGGTTGACCCTGAGGTGTGTGTGTGTCCCTTAGTGTGTGGGAGCCAGAGACAGAGAGAAGAGGAAAGGATAGAGAGAGGGATAGAGGGAAGGAAAGAGAAGAAGAAGAAGAAGAAGAAGAAGAAGAAGAAGAAGAAGAAGAAGAAGAAGAAGAAGAAGAAGAAGAAGAAGAAGAAGAAGAAGAGAGGGGAGGAGGAGGAGAAGGAAGGAAGGAAGGAAGGAAGGAAGGAAGGAAGGAAGGAAGGAAGGAAGGAAAAAGGAAGAAGAAAGAGGGGAGGGAGGGAGAAAGAGAAAGAAAGGAGAGAGAGAGAATATGAATGTGTGCACATACATTTGTTATCAGGACCATCTCAAAGGAGGAAGGGAGTGGGAAGAGGTGACACAATATATTTAAGGGAAGCTAGGAAGTAATCTGTTTACCATGAGCAACCAGGGTAGAAAAGACATCCCCTAAAGGCAAAGTACAGCCTAAAGTCTGTATGTGCTAAGGAGGAGGAGCAATCTCACTACTTGGGGTGAAAGTATGCTGTGCATAGGGTGAGGTGTTATGGGATTATGGACTGATTATGCATCTCCTACAAGTCCTAGATCTTTGTGAAAGCTAGCGCAGGAAGTTGCCTTCTCCTTGAGACATTATACCAATATGTGTGTGTGTGTGCGCGCGCGCGCGCGCACGTCTGCGTGTGTGTGTGTGTGTGTGTGTGTGTGTGTGTGTGTGTGTGTGTGTGTGTGTGAGC